TTGAATCCTCACAATCTGATGAGCTTTATTATTAATGTCACCTTATAAGTGAAGAAACCCAAGCTGGGAAGGAGTAAATGATGTATCCAAAATTGTAAAGCTAGTAGGTTCAAAGGCAAGGATTCACACTTGAATCTATCAGACTCTAAACCCACTTCTTTCCGCATCACCTGCCTCCACCATAGCAGACATCATGGCTAATATTTAGACACATGTTTGGCTCTTTCCACCTAGGCTTGCCTGACTTAGACGGTATTGTGTCCTCTGCTAGGCGTGTTCTCAGCTCTCCGAGGCCATCAGAGGCCTCATCCCAGGGCCTTGCAGCCAGTTCTGTTGGACCAAATAGCACCAAAGAGTAACAGTGAAAATAGCTAGCAATGTGGTGTCTTTATGTGCTCAGCTGTGTGCTAAACATTTTAAGTGGATTCTCCCATTTATGTCTCACAGCATTGCTGTGAGGTAGGCACTATTATTTTAGTACCTCATCATTTTGAAGATGAGAAAACTGCAAAGATTACAAAATAAGGTAAAACAGCCCCTAAGTGGTAGAGACAGGATTTGTCTTGACCACAGTGTGTGGTGGTGTCTTTTTCCTCTTAATGTACCCTACTGGTAATGAACCTGACACCTTAGCATCCCAAACCCAAACCTTTCCAAACTCAGGACCATGCTCGTAGTGAACTGGGTCCTTTTCCCCTGTTTTTACATGACCTTACTCTTTTTTGATAAACTAACTCCTGCTGGGCAGTAGGTATTGTAGCTTAATGTGTTTTACCTCCTGGAGAAACAGATTTGTGTTTCAAGAGGAATCTCCAAAGAGGGACCGTCTTTACCCACAATGTATTGAGTAATGGTGGTGACATCAGGCACTACTCAAATGATGATGGTCTTGCTATTTTGGGCCCCATAAGCCTTCTTCACTGAAGCATCATTTTGATCAACAGGGATATATGTTAAACTTGGTTAACCTTGGTTGAGTTTAAACCATGATCTATTGGAAGTCAAGGATTATTTTAATGCCTGATCTTTAAAAAGGAGTTAGAAGATGCCTTTTAGAGTTCATTTAAAACACACACACACACACACACACACACACACACACACACACACACACGAGCATTCTTGCTTCTTACCTTTGAGGACCAGCTTGCGTTAGGAATTTTACACCAGTAATAAAGATCCAGACTTCAGCAAGTCCATGGAGCCTTGTCTGATCTGAAAGACACCTATGGGCCAAGTCAGAACCTTCCTGGAAGATGAATTATTTCAGGGCTCTCCTGAGAGTTTCATAATTAATCTAGCACTATTCATTTATTCCATAAATATGTTTTGTACACAGGTACTATATTAGGTTCTTGGGTATATTTTTGACTATTGTCACCCTATAAAAAGACTGTTTTTATCTCATAATGAGTAACGTCCCCCAGATAATCTCAGATTTTAAGTTATTACAAAGGTCCACAGAGTGTTCTGTATACCAATATATTCAATTAGACAATTATTCCATATTTTCAAAGATGATAGTGATGAGTTCCTGAATTTGAATCAGTCTCCAGTGAATGTATGGTGTGAAGCCCTTTGCCCTCTTTCAGCTGGGAGTTTATCTGTTGTCATGTGACATGAAAATGGCATGGCCTATGTAACCTGGGTGTCCTACTTCTTTATAAATGATAAATGAACATGCTTGTTAAATATCTGGAAGACACAAAGCTGGGAATGGTAAATGGAAGCCTAATGAACTGAATGAATAGTGATGATGTTAGTAAATAAGAACACTGTGCTAACACCAACATGTTGAGCTTAATAGGAATAAATAGAAAGTCCTGCATTTAATTTTTAAAATTCAATAATGTAAGTTCAGGGTAGGAGAGAGCTCTAATTTTCATATAAAAAAAAACCCAACCTGCATACTTTTTCATTAACCTAACACTCCACTTGCTGAGTACTGGCCACCAGGTGGACACTGTGGGATCTGACCACCAGATGCATCTGCAAATGCAAGTTAATTGGCCGATAATGTGCAACTCAAGGGAGAAAATGTTCCCACTGACTTGATCTCATTGGGAATAGACACAACACTCTAAGAAGGTCATAGTTGATAAAATAGCCTATAGAAGAGGGAGACTAGACTGGTGAGTGAGAGGGAAACCAGGCTGGATGGAAATATTGAATGACCACAGGATGTTTAGTCTAGAGAAGAAAAGAGTATGGGACTTTGATGGTTGTTTTCTAGCATTTAGGGAGCTATTGTGTGACTACAGGAGGAGCCTTAAGCCTTCTTTGGGTTATTTTGGTTCATCCAATGGGGTGACAGTTAGAAAGGGATGGATTCATTTTGATGTCTTCATGTTTTCCTGCCAACTTTGAGGAAGGCTGCCCCTGAGGAGCCTCACCCCACAAGGATTCCAGCAGAAACCGGCTGACCATCTGCCACGGAGACTGCTCTCTCTGCAAGGCTAGCTTGTGTGGGGATTGACATGAGTGATCTCTGAGGATCTCTTCGATGTTAATTCTTCCATTTTTATTTTTCAAGTTAAGGGGGAAGTAACATAACTTTTCATGTACCTTCCTTAAGCCTTCAGACACCCAAGGATTTTGCTAACCTACTACTAAGTCCACTTCCTCATTTTCCCCACCTTCACTGGCTGAGACAACCTTGACTTAGTTAATGGAACGTCATGGAAAATACACTCCGAATGTTAAAATACACTGCTGACCCATTTGTAATAGTTATGAAGACCTCGTCTGTGTCTCATTCATTCACCAGTTGGACATGTAAATACCAGTGATCATCAGAACAGACAGGAAGGAGGAAAGCTTGCCTCAATTGAGGTGAATAGAGAGAGGAAATTCACAAGACCAGAGCCCATGAGATCCATTAGCACATTCAAGGCTCCATACATCTGCAGTTCAAGGGGGAGGAGTAATGGTGCCCTGAGCTGTGTGAGTGCTGGGCAGAGGGAGGCAGGTACCTCTCAGTCCCTGCAGCTGCCCTAAAATTTACTGTGGCTGTATCGCTCGAGCTTCCCTGTCAATCTTCCAGACACCTGTTGTGTTCTAGGTGTGCCCAGAGGTCACCGTCCAGCTAAGAGGAAGATTTACCACGGCCTCAGCTGTCCATTTCTGTTGCCAACTTATGACCAAGGAACACTTGGCCAGAAAGTTGCCTTCAGTACAACGAAATGTACCGTTCTGATGAAACCCTTCTGCCAAAAGTGCATGTCACTGGACACTGCGTATTTACCTCTTCATCTCTTACCAAATAGATCACTTTGGCATCATGTAGGTCTGTTTAGTTTAGAAGGGTGAGTCTTACTATCTGAATTTCTTGTATGTTTATATTTATAGAGGTTGACAAGTAAACATAGATACAAGCCCAGTTTTAGTTAATACCATTAACCCAAAATCATGTTACAGTGAGGCAACATACCTTTTTTTTAAGTTGAAGTGCTTACATGATCCTATATAATAAAAGGCTAATATGCAAATTGGCCAAACGGTGGAACGACCAGTCGCTATGATGTGCACTGACCACCCAGGGGCAGATGCTCAATGCAGGAGCTTCCCCCTGGTGGTCCTGTGCTCCCACAGGGGGGAGCACTGCCCAGCCAGAAGCCCTGAGCCGGGCTCATGGCTGGCGAGTTATAGCGGTGGTGCCGGGAACCTTTCCCACCTCCATGAAGCCCTGAGCCGGGCTCATGGCTGGCGAGTTATAGTGGTGGTGCCGGGAACCTTTCCCACCTCCACTGCAGCGCTAAGGATGTCCGACTGCCGAGGGGACCAGGCCTAAGCCATCAGTCAGACATCGCCCGAGGGCTCCTGGACTGTGAGAGGGCACAGGCCAGGCTGAGAGACACCCCTCTCCCCCTGGAGTGCATGAATTTCATGCACTGGGCCTCTAGTCTAAAAATAATTATTTAGAATGGTAACAACAGCTAAAACATAATTTCAAAATTAGTTGTATGATTTCAGAGTTAGGGAAACTTTATAGAACTAAAAATAGTTACTAACTGTGATGCAGTTATTCAGTAAGCAGGAAAAATAAGTAGGATTTTATATTACTATCTGGTATCTCTGCCAAGTATAAGAACCTTTTATTATTATAGAGAGAAAAATATGAGATAGCTGTTTTATATATAAAAGTATAATGAGAAACATCATTATTTCTCACAAAGGCTACTACCTTCTACTAATCCAATAACAACGGGTGTGCTGAGTAACTAGTGATGATAATGTTGATAACAGAGGGGAAAAAGCAAGAACCAATCCCCTTTTCCAACTCAGTTAAAGGCTCACCCACTATTGTATTTAGACATCAGTATGCTCCACCCAGAGGCTGAGGTTGTTTCCATATAACACACTCAGACCATTTCAAGGTAGTTGTTCTTTGTAGTTGTAGAAGGAGCAACATTTCATAGTTGAGTTTTGTTTAGTAAACCAACTTTCATCAATTTTAATCCAAGTGTATGAACCATTTTAACATGAGATGAATGACAAGACATCTGAGAAGTAATACTATCATTCCAGATGTTCATTTCACTCACTCATTGAAATAATTGAACCTTCACAAGAACCCTATGAAATAGGTGCTATAATTATCCCACTTTAAAAAGAAGAAAACCAACGCACAACAGGTTTTAAGAAACTTGTTTGTGATCCCACAACTAAGAATTGGCAGAGGAGAGGTTTGAACTCAGACAGCCTGGCTGGTTTCCAAGTCCAAGTACTTAACCAAAAGGATGCACTGTCTCCCCAGTAATGGGAGGTCGGTGAAAGTAATCAAGTGTCTAGTGTGTATCAGGCACTGTGTTAATCCCTTTGTATACGTTAGCATATTAAGTTCACCAGTTGGGTCATTCGGACACAGGTAAGAGGGATAACAAAAGATTCACCAAGTCTCCTGATGATTGGCGTAACACCCTAGCTTGGATGTGGTTTCTGTTACTTCAGATTGCAGGATATTAGCAGTAAGAAATTACTGTATTGTCTTTTCCTTGCAGAGGCGGAATGGTCCAAACCAGTGAGCAGTATGAATTTGTGCATCATGCTCTGTGCCTGTACGAGAGCAGACTTTCGGCAGAAACTGTCCAGTGATTCTCTGAAGATGTACCAGGCCATCAATCTCTAGGGGTGACTAATCAATTACCCACTTGACGCTTCTAGAAGAAGCTTCCTGCAATGAAAGAGAAGCCCTGAAGTCAAGCTGTGGCATGGACAGTGGAAGATGGCAACACAGGAAAGATTGCCAGCCCCTTGTGTATGTGAATGCATTTGTGAGCAGCTCCTAAGTTATTCTGAAGGTCCTATGCTGATGGAGGAATGATGGACTTCTCCCACAGCTAAGCAGGATTTTGTTTTGTCTGTATTGATTATCTGCCACCCGGAATGTGTGTATGAAACACCCAGTGATACATGTCATCAGATGATGACTGGAAGAGCTGCTGAAGAAATTATTATTGTGTGTTTAGATGCTTTAATGTTTGCAAAATCTGTCTTGTGAATGGACTGTCAGCTGTTAAACTGTTCCTTTTTAAGTGCTATTATCTTTCTCAGTTACCAGAATCTTGCCGCTAAAAGTTGCAAGTGATTGATAAAGGATTTTTAACAAATGAGTCCTTGTTTTTGAAAAAAAATCAAAAGCAGTAACTATTTTATATGGAAATGTGTCTTGATAATATTACCTACTAAATATGTATTTATCAGTACCTCCTATCAATCAATTACAGAGCACAATGATTGTCATTGGGTATCTATGTATTTATTCTCTATTATTGGGCATAGAGGTGGTTGCTTCTCCAGAACTCTATTCACTGTATTTCTACATTGTGAGTCACTTTACTGTAAAAGGGAAAAACAAATTTGTAGCAACTCTGACGTATCAAGAACTTTAGATACTTGTCTCTCTTTTACTAAGAGTTTTTGAGTATGCTATCTACCTGGAGTCTCTTGCCCAATTAAAGGCAGTTGCTTTGGGCATGATCACCTGTCACTTTTCCAGAGGTTCTTCTAAAGGCTGCTGCCATGGATATCCTTACATTTCAGAAAGGTTTTAATCCTCAAGAGACAAATAAAGCTAAAAACAACAACAACACAAAAACTACACTCAGCAAACACTAGATGTTCTGCTCAAATATGAATTTCTAATGCAGCTATGTTGACTTCGTTTCATACTGCCAATAAACTACTCTTAATACTAAATGTTGAGTTAAGCAGGTACTTTTTTCCTCTTTGGAGAGCGGCTGTTATCTTTTGGGGGGAGTCTGCAGTAAATGATGTGAAGGGTTTAATTTTAGTCTCTGCCTCTCCCCAGGAGAGATGACTATCTCAACTGTAATACCCATTGTCATCACTTGAGGGATAATGACCTTGAAGTGCCATCATTATGTGGTTTTCCTTGATAGACTCCCAGCACATCATTATAGGAGCAGTACATGTTTATGTCTTTCCAGCACTTGTCCTAGACCCTCAGAAATCACATGGTGTGGGTTTATTCAGTAGAAACCCATCACCTGAAGAGATGTAATGTTGGGGGAGCATTTAATTATCTGAGATTACAATTCTTTTCTTCCCTCTTGAGGTTAAGAGGTGCCAAAGGGATGGATTGGGGAGAAAAGTTAGGAGTTTTATTCCACTCCTGGAGGCTGGAATTTTTTTTCTACATAAAAAAAGAGAGGTAATCATAATCCCTTCTTTCTAAGGAAACAGACAAAAGGACACTGGTGTAAAACTTCCCCAAACAATTCAATAGGAGGAAGTGCTCGTCACTGACTTTCCCCCCCATGAAGGCACATTTCCTTCCCTGGTCTTTGCTTCTCTTATCTGGGAGAATTTTTCCCCCCAAAGCGAAGCATGAACAGTTGTTCAGTGGAAAATGGAGGCTGAATTTTACATGGCGCTTCTTACCTGCTTGATCTTCTGGAACCCAGGTGAGTGGGCCTGCCTCAGGGTCCTGACCCGTTTCTCTGGCAGCTGGCAGACGAGATTCTGTCCTTTGAAAAGTGCCTGAAATGAAGCGGAAATGGAGCCAGGTCTCCATGGCAGTTTAGCCGAAGATGAGGAGGAGGGGGGATAAAAGGAGCCAGGTTTGCCCACACTGTTGAAATTTCTCTCCAAACGAAAAGAAAAGGCCTCCTCACGGCCTGCAAATGCCTTGGGCAGCTCCTGAAATGGCACCTTCACAGCAGAGAGGAGTCCTGAGGAGATATTTTTATTATATAACAAACAGTCTGGGCCATTCTCCATGCTTTTGTCCAATTAGGTTATGATTTTGTGTTGTTTTGTGTGTGAGTTAAAGAAAGAAAATGTAAGCAATATAATTGAAGGGGATGAAGAAGTGTGGTGTGTTTAATTTGGAAGTTGCTATTTGGCAGGAAGGTCTGAATATTTTCATGGGAGGGCTGGGCAAATGAAGTGTAAGCACATTAAAAATGGTTTCTGAGCCCAAATGTCTCACTTTTTAATACTGATGTTTAACAACTAGGTATTTAATTTCTTATATTAAGAAATGCTGATAGTTTAATATGTTGATATTAAAGGGAAAAATTGCAGATATTGTTACAAAATAGAGAAATGATTCTCTCTAAGACTATACGAAATTTAGTTTGTGACAATCAATTCTTTCATTGGTTACTGTTCGCTAGGAAGGTGTGCTTAGAAGGATGTGAAAATTTCTTTTATTCTGGGGTAAATGCATCCAATTTTTAAATTTTTATTGAAACTGTGTAATTTATATACAAATATTTATTGCAATAATAAGTTAAGGATTGCAAAAAAAAAGGTGCCCTTTAAAGTTGGGGGTCGAGGTGGGATGGAAAGAATAAAATGTTTAAAAGGGAACTGAGCTTTTCACAATTTCAGCATATTTAATTGGACTAAAACCTCACACCATCGTCTTTGAATAGTTTTGTTTCTTTTCTAAGCTTCCTGTCAGTATTTCAATGGCGGGGGTAAGGGGCGGGGGGAGGATTCTTCCCTAAACCATGTGAAAGTAAAAGAAAGGGAGGTAAGGGTGACATTTTGGCACTGGCAGCCTTGTGGTTTTAAGTTCCATGTGTTGAGTTTGGGAATATTCACTTGAAATGATTGCAATAGCAAAAGATAAGTGAGCCTCCCATTTTCACTGGGCTGATGTGTGGGCGGGTTGCTTTGTTTTCTGATGGGCCTTGTGATCTGTTACCTGGTGCTAGATGAGCTTTTCATCTTCCAGAGGGGTTTCAGATCGTCCATGTCCAGAAACAACAGTGCCTTTTCGAAAATAAGATCGTGTCCATGGGCTCGTGCAATGGGACCGAGCAGAACCAGCAGTGGATGTGGACTGAGGACGCAAAGCTCCTTCACCTGAAGTCTGCACTGTGCCTGGGCATCTCCAACTCCTCTGGTGGCCCTTCCCGATCAGCCATCTTTGTCCACTGCTCCCAGGCCCCCCGATGGACTTGCTATGAGAAGACAGGGTTCCTTGAGGTGAAAAATGCCTCTCTCTTTCTCAAGAAACAAGGCACCAAGGCAGTGGTCAAAAAGGGCAGGAAATACCTCCATAGCTGGATGAAAAGAGATGTCAACAAGGAGGGAAAACCAGTCAATGAAAGCCTCTGCTTAAAAAAAGGTGAGCTATTCCTTTCAGAATCAATGCTGAAAGTTCTGCTAACTGTCCTGTTTTGTCACATGCAAGGGAAGTCTACGTGCCCCAACACAATTGCTATGGAAGATTCATAAGCTAATGGAAATGGATCATGTGGTGCCCACCAACGTGGAAAACTTCTTTATCCTCATTAAAATAAACCCAACTCTCTCTCTCTCTCTCTCCCTTCTTTTCTTTCTTCTTTTATTAATTCAACAAATATTTCTTGAGTTTCTTTTTTGTGCCAGACACTAGGCACTCTAGTTAAGCACTGTAAAGTATGGGAATGCAGATCTAGGCATAGACAAGCAAACATACATAATGACTAAAGCCAATGATCAGGAAATTAAAAATTTTGCTGATGTAGACACTTCTGTTCTCTCCTTATGAGGAACTATTAGAACATCAAAATGGTGCTTGAGAAGACTGGAAAGATAACAAATTGTGCTTGTGTCTGCTACCTTATAATTGTGCTAAAGCAAGTGTTGTACCTAGGTACATTCAAAAAAGTTTTTTTGTGTGTGCCACAATTGTGCAAATCTTAACTCTGGTTTTTGTAGAAGTCCACACCCCTCCAAACATACATTACCAGGTATGTTTATTCAGTGGTTAACTGTAAATGGTTGATTCTATCTACTTTACTCTTGAAGTCCATATTGGACATGTTTTGTATGAAGGTCAAAGGAGATGGTTTTTCCATGAATTACCTTCCATCTTGAAGAATTCTCTACTGAATCTGTATGTACTTTTTGGCATCTAAATAAACTCAGTGGGCTCTTTTATGATAGAAGTTGAGTGTTGTAGTCCCTATTCTTATAAAACTTGTGACTATGAGAATAAAATAAAAATATTAAAGTCAGTTAGAAAAGTCAACTTTATCAGAGAAGACAAAGCTGCATAGTATTCCATTGTGTAAATGTACCACAATTTTCCTACTGCTCTACTGATGGGCCCTTGGGCTGTTTCCAGATCTCAGCTATTGTAAACAACACTGCTATGAACACAGGAGTGCATATATTCTCTCTGATGGGTGTTTCTGGCTTCTTAGGATATATCCTGAGAAGTGAGATCACTGGGTCAAATGGCAGTTACATTTTTAATCTTTTGAGGAAACTCCACACTGTTTTCCATAGTGGTTGTACCAGTCTGCATTCAAACCAGCAGTGTACTAGGGTTCCCTTTTCTCTACATCCTCACCAGCACTTGTTGTTTGTTGATTTATTGATGATAACCATTCTCCAAGGTATGAGGAGTTACCTCATTGTCGTTTTAATTTGCATCTCTCTGATAATTAGTGACTTTGAGCATTTTTTCATATGTCTCTTGGTCATTTGTATGTCCTCTTTGGAGAAGTGTCTATTCAGGTCCTCTGCCCATTTTTTTAATTGGGTTGTTTGTCTTCCTTTTGTTGAGTTGTATGAGTACTTTATGTATTTTGGAAATTAACCCTTTATCAGATATATCATTGGCAAATATGTTCTCCCATACAGTGGGTTCCCTTTTCATTTTGCTCCTGGTTTCTTTTGCTGTGCAGAAGCTTTTTATTCTCACATAGCAGAATTTTCACTGATACAACTCCTAGGGCAAGAGAAACAAAGGAAAAAATAAATAAGTGGAGCTAAAGCAAATGCCTTTTAAAAAAGAGTTGATAAGTAAATATTATAATCTAAAGCACAAATATGAATGTTGTTCATCCATAAGATGTGAACTATTTTATTAAATTCTTCAGTAAAGGACACTTTCTGAAATTTTAATTACTCCTTTTACTATTTCCAATAGTTATTTAGGCTATTATAATCTCCTTCCCTTTCACTTCACCTTTATTCTAGCCCAATCTTGTTTAATATGTTTAACTTATTTATATAAATATATATACATATAAGCATAAAGCATTCTTTGTCTAAGTCATCATCTGTTTGGTTTATCTCTTTTCCATATTATTTTCCTACTTTTAAAAGGCACATTATATTTGGCATCTTCCTAGAGTATAGAAAGTACCAATGTAGTTAAAAATTCCTACCACCAAAATGAGTTTTATTCAAGTTATTATGTTTTCAACATGCTTGAAAATTAAAGGAGGGAAACTAACAAATTGTGTATTGTCTTTATAATAATTATACAAAATTCCATTTCTATTATTGATTATATTTGAGCCAATCACTGATTTTTTTAAAATATATTCAAAATATGATCTTAATATGGTGCAGAGATTGCAAATCACCTTATAGGTAAGCTATTTGCAACTTAAATGCAAAACTTTTTAGACTGGACAAGGATAATTCACCTTTTCTGGAATCATGTTCTAAGAGGAATTGTGTATAATGTGAAAACAATGTAGCAGCAATGGTACAATAAAGCTTTTTAAAAATAGCTTCAACATATTGTTCCATTGTGTGACAACTTTTCCTTGCCTTTGTCAAAACACATCTTGCTCTTTCATGAACTGTAAAATGTATATACCTTTTAAAGCACAACAGAATTTATAGGTATCAAAACAGCCAAAGATCTACTATTTTTATAATTTCATGGCACCCATTTCAACAAAGAGTTCAGGAGATGGAAAGATGAACTTCTTTTGATCA